ATTTCCTTGCCCACTTTGAGGTAAAGATCCAGCTTTTCCTGTCCTCCCATGCCAAGCTCCCTCCTGTTATTCAGCCTGGGACCCTGAGGCCAGAGGGGAGCCAGCCCTTGTCCTCAATTGCCAATATTTGTTCTTGTCCTTGGACATAACTTGTACAAAAGGTTCCCTTTCTCTAAACTAGGGTTCTGTAGACTACCAGTAGTCTGCACAAGGTGAGGGAGGCGAGTTACTCTAGGGGGATTGAGGAGGTAAGGGTATGTGGTAGTCTTTTTTTTCTTTTTTGGAGAGATGAGGTAACAGTGAAGGACAAAGCTGGTCTGACTTGTAGGCTGAATACTTGAGCCTCGGTCTTACCTGTAAAATGGGAATAATACTTGTACTACCTACTCTAGAGTGTTGTGTGGCCTGAAAAGTGCTCTATCGATAGGAGGTGTTGATTACCGTGTTGAGGGAGCATGCACTCTGTGTCGAGGTTAGGGTCTTGACTGGTTTTTTTTTCTCCTTGTTCCTCCTGAGGCTCTGGAGAAGATCGCAGCCTACATGCGCTCTGACAGATTCTACAAGCTACCCATCAATAACAAGATGGCCAAATGGGCCAACAAAAGAGCTTAGCTGTGCCAAGACCCAAGCAGCAGAGGGGCTTGCCACGTGCCCTCCTCTGCTCCAAGAGACCTGGTCTGCTCGCCAGGTTCCCCTGGGCCCGCCTTTGCTGTTTCTGAGACGCACTTGTCTCCCTCCAGCCTGCTCCCCACTGTTCTAGTGATGGTTTAGGGGGAGGTATGGTCACTGAGGTAGGGGAAGGGCCTGAGGGCAGGGAAGACACGTAGATCCAATGGGGCTAGAAGAAGGGCCTCCCTACCTCCCCCATCTCTCTCATCTCTTCCTGTAACCTTGTGAACTTGCTCTGGAAATGAAAAATAAACATGAATCTGTGTGAGCTGTGTCCATCTCAGTGATTGTGGTGAAAGGCACCCCAGGATGAGGTGGGATGAAGAGGAGATGGGACTGCAGCAGTTAAACTGGATGCTCTGGAGACTTCTTCCCCTGCGACCCTTATCCAGTGGTGGCTGCTGCCTGCCTTTCCTTCGGTCAGTCAGTAAACATTTATGAAACACCTGCTATGCGCCAGGCACTATGCTAAGCACTGGGGATAAAAAATAAAAATAAAAGATAAGCCCTGCCCTCAAGGAGCTTATGATCTGATAGGGGAGACAATGAGCAAAATATGTGCAAACAAGTTATATGCAGGAGAAATAGGAAACAAGGGAAGGCAGTGGTCTGAAGTCTCACTGCCCTGGTCTTCTAGCTCTCCCTGCTCAGACCGCTTAGGCTTGGGCAGTAGTTATTGGCAGTACCTGAAATCCCAGAACTGATGACGTTCCTTCAGGTTTTAAAGTCTTACCTCCTACCCACCAACAGCCAAAGGGACGAGGGGGATGGGGGGAGAGATTAGCTGGCAACCAGCTGACTTGGTAAGAGGACCGAGGATTTCAGCTGGGCCTTAAAGAAAAGAATGGATAGGATTTCAATAAGCAAAGAAGGAGAGAGGAGGACATTCTAAGCAAGGGGAAAATGATGCAACAGGGTTCAGTAAAGTGTATTCAGAGAAGAGAATAGACTAGTTTGGCTAGAATAATGGGTTTATATGCATGATAAAACTGGACTGGGACCAGTGTAGAGAACCTTCAGATAGGCTGAGAAATTTGAACTTTATAGTCAACATAATTAATTCCTGAGTTCTGATAGGCTTTCGCAGGCTAACACCCTGAAATCCTTCCATTTTTACTGAATTATTCAGGAATAGTCCTGACCCCATGTTCCAGTCCCACCTCCCGGCCCCATTGTTCTCTCACCGCCTTCCCCTCTGTTTCTAGGGGCCTCACAGCCTGGCAACAGCAGCATTCAAAGAAGGAAGGAAAACTACAAAAGAAAGAAGAAACTAGGCTAGGGCTTATAATTAGGGAGAGCAGGCTGAGGGCAAAGAGGATTCAGAGGGGAAGAAAGGCTTTTTGTATAAAGGGGGAGGGTAGAACAGCTGGCCCCCGGGAGGGTCTTCCTGTCCCAGACCCTCTGGCTTCTGCCCTCCCCTGCTGGGAGAGAGGAGCCATTCCTACTCTCCATAGAAGCATAGGATTCCAAAGCAGGAAGCTACCTTAGAGATCCTCTAGCCCCACCCCCACCACTACCCCCACCCCCATTTTACAAAAGGAACTGAGGCCCATAAGCCACATAGCTAGGAAGTGACAGCTGTTTGCAAACATACAAACTCAACTCTAACTCCAGGATTCACTTTTACCCAGGGTGGAAATTTTAAGGAGCGCTAATAGCATCATCCCTGGGCTTTGAGCACCCCTCATTACCATTCCCTTTCACCCCCATATCCAATCTACTGCCAAGGCCTCTTGGAGAGATTTCATCTCTCAGATTTGCCCCCTTCCCTCCTCTGACTCCGCCACCACCATTCTGGTGCAGACCCTTATCACCTCACACATGGATTATTGCAATAGCTGCTGGTGGGTCTGCCCACTTCAAGTCTCTCCCCACTCCACTCCATCCTCCATTCACCACTACAATGATTTTCCTAAACCTCAGGTCACTTCCCCTAATAAACACCAGTGGCTCCATGTGGCCTCCAGGATCAAATACAAAATCTTGTTTGTCATTCAAAGCCCTTCATAACCTAGCCTCCCACACACTCCTTCCCACTCTTCTTATACCTTATACCCTCCTACCCCCCGACATACTCTTTGATCCTATGACATTATCCTCCTGACTGTTCCATGAACTGACCAGATATCTTTCAGCTCCAGGCATTTTCTCAGGCTGTCCCCCATGCCTGGAATGCTCTCCCCCGTCATTACCACCTCCTGGTTTCCCTGGATTCCTTCAAGTCCCAAACTTCTATAGAAACCTTTCCCAATCCCTCTGAATTCCAGTGCCTTATCTCTGTTAAATATTTCCCATTTACCCGGTGGCTTCTTTGTACGTAACTGTTTGCATATTGTCTCCCCCATTAGTTTGTGAGCTCCTTGTGGTCCTTTTTGCCTCGCCTGGAACAATGTCTATCATATAGTAGGCACTTAATAGATGCTTGGTGATTGACTGAACCTATCTCCCCACCAGGAGCCATTCTATGGGCTTGGAAATTTTGCAAGGTCCCAGAACAAGCTGCCTCCCCACTGATGGTTGCAACCCAAATGAGCCTCCTTCATCCTCTCCACCTCCCACCCTTTTTCCCCAGATGCAAAAATTATTGGGTCTGGCTCTGCCAAAGTTCTTCCCACTGTAGGATGAGATGCTCTTGCCTTTCCCACTCTAATATTCCGTCCATCGATGTGGTTACTTTCTTCAACAATGCAGCTATTATAATTCATCTCCTCTCATCTTGTGCACCGTTTTTGTTCTCATCCCCCCTAGAAGATCTCCACAGGGCCCCCCCCGCAATGTCCCAGGGCCCTTCCTCCTTTCTTGTCGCTGTGTGGATATCAGTGGAACACATAGACTGTCCACAGATTCCAGTCACATATCTCTGATGCCACCTCTTTCCTCATCCCCATGCAGTTCTTGGTTGGTGATGTGTTCTGCTCACCCACACCCACCATGTGCCTCTTCATGTGCCTTCTCCCTTCCACATCTGTTCCCTAAACAAAATCCCTAGGACAGCAAGAAATCAGGCTCAGTCCAAGAGGACAAGGGCCCTTAAGAGGATTCTGGATTTACATGTGGGTATATATGATGGGGTCATTCACTGGAATGAGTTGCTGGGATTAGAGGAAGTGGTAAACACGGAAGTGGGGATGAAGATGAATAGTTGTGGGAGAGACCACTGTCTGAAACCACCTAAAACTACCCAGGTGCACCTCCCTATCCCTGCTCCCCTTGTCCTCACAGGTGCCTGGGGCTCAGTTTACAATTCTGTAGAGACAATGAAGATGAGAAGACTATCCAACCCTTTCCCATCCACTTCAGTGTGCTGGTACAAGGGAAGGGGCCCCAAAAGAGAGGCTCACTCAAAGAGGTCGTCCATACTCTGCCCCCAGCTAGGTAAGAGGGAGGAACAGGTCTCATTTGTGACATCAGGTACAATTATTCTATTTTTAATAGGGATGAACTCAAAGTCCCCTAGAGTAAAGAATGGAACCCAGAAGCTGACCTTGGATGAGTAAGGTTCAGGGCAGGAGCCTTCACAGGGGCCAGCATGATCTATATCTCTCTTGCACGTACTAAAGAAGAGCTATCATGGCTCCCTCTCATCTCCCCATGCTTTCTCTTCTCCAAAATCAACAGTCCCAGTTCCTTCCCATCATCGGTCCTCATATAAAATGAACTCGAGAATATTCATCATCTTGGTTACCCCACCTACCCACACTGACCCCTGTCAACATTCCAGCTTGTTGACAGTCTTCCTAAAACGTGGCACCCAGCATTGAACAGGGAAAGGAGTAGGAAAAAGGGGGAGTCCACACACCAGTGTACCTTACCCTTTATTGAGTCAACCCAAGAAACAGGGAAAGCCCGAGAGCATCAAGTCACCCCCTCAGGGCCAAGGGAGCTAGAAATTGAATTCAGGAGAGTCCTGGTCTCCCATGTTGCTCCTTTTTCAAGGGAGGGAGGGAAGGGAATATATGCATTTATAAAAAGCCTCTACTATATGCTAGGGCACTGTGCTAAGCACTGTACAAATATGAACTCATTTGATCCTCACAACAACCCTGGAAGGTTAGGTGCTGTTATTTTCCTCATTTTACAGTTGAGGAAACTGAGACAAGCAGAGATTAAGTGACTTGCCCAGGGTTGTAGAGTTACTAAGTGTCTGAGGCTGGATTTGAACTCCGGTCTCTCCTTACTCCAAGCTCTGCACCCCTCTTTGCACCGTGGAGTGAAGAAGACTTGGCAGAGATAAGGGTGAAGCGACCCCTGGAGAGAAGTAAAGGACTAGTAGCAGATGGGTTAGATGGCCGAAGAGTAGAAATCCAGAATCAAAAGGAAAAACAGAGGAATAAAGTTACAGCACTTTATTAGAAACCCTGGGCTCCAGGGTGAGGGCCAGGAATCTTCTTAGCAGCCCTCTACTGCAGCTGGATCAGCCAGCGATGACTGTTCCTCCCTCCCAGGTCTTTGGTCCTTGTGGGTCCCTACTTATTACCCCAGCAGGCTATCTTTGCAAAGATTGGATAGGGCTGGCAGCGGTCAGAGGCTAAGTAGGCAGCAATTCTACTCAGACTCTGGTGGGAGGGAGAGAAAAGAAAAGGCTCAGTCTCCCAGTCCTGACCTCTCTCACCCTTACCACCTTGAGATAAGTAAGAGCCAAGCAGCCATGGCATAAAAGCTCAGCAGACCCACTACCCAGGTCCCGGGCTTGCAAGCCCAGGACCTGGAGTGGGCAGGGGAAAAGACGCCAGATCCTGAAAGCCAAGCTGAGACACACTGGTTGGCTGCTGGAACAGGAAGGAGAGTCACCTATAATATGGTTCTTGATTTTAACAACAGTCACTGACATCTGTGCCCACCAGGAACTCATGGAATCAAGGCCAGAACCCCCCTCTGTCTAGATAGAAACACTGATTTCCAATAGCCTAGCCCCCTTCTCCTCTGCCAATTTACATGCCACACAAGCAAGAGCTCAGGAGACCTCTACACCCTTCAATGCTTGTCACAGCCGCCGCCGCTACCAACCTCCCTCTTCAGAAAGGGAACCCTCCCTGCACGTCCTCCTTTCATAGCATACAGGATTGGGAGCTGTTAAGCAATCATCCAGGCCAATTGCTGCACCTCATTTTTTCAGATATTGAACCAATAAGGCCCAGAAATATCAAGTGAGTTTCCCAAGGTTACACAGTTACCAAGCACCAAATGGAATTCAAAGCCAGTATTCATTCTACACCAAGACATTTGCATAACTAAGAAGCCCAGCTCCTTCCAACCCTAGCCACGGTTTGGCTGTCCAAAAAAAAACCAACCAAACAAACAAACAAACAGACTCTTAAAGAGTTTTTCTAGCAGGCTTCTATCTCAAAGTCTTTGAACTCTTCCTTCTGGGAAGCCTTGAAATAAACAAGGAACCTTCTGCCAGGCTTCTTTCAGGCCCCATGCTCACAGAAGGTTTCCCTCAACCAGATGTCCTTGGCAAGTGGCCCAGATTAACTCAAGTTTCCCTACCAGGTATCGCTTTAAAGAAAGGACTGAACTGTTTCTTGAACTGTTTCTTCTTGCACCACGATGTTTCCATAGATATTTTATGTTTTTCCCCTCCCCAAGATTACCCAGCAAGGACAAATTTCCTCTGTTATCTTGCAATAATCCGGCTCTAGTCTTTCACAAATGAGCATCTATAAGCCTTCCCTTTGACATTTAACAGGCAGAGATGGTTCTCTACTTCAAAAGGGGTACAGATAGATAGATTTGTTAAGTGTTTATATGTGCTGAGCACCACAGATACAAAGAAAGGCAAAAAAAAGTCAACAAATATTTGTTAAGTGTTTACTGTGTGCTGAGCACCACAGATACAAAGAAAGGCAAAAAAAAAAAATCCAAAACACTATGAGGCACTATGATATAATAATCAGGGAGCTGGTCTACAAGCCAAGAAGACCTGGGTTTGAACTCACATCACACATATATCTGCCTCATGGCCCCACTGAACCCTATAAGTCCGCAAGTTACAAAGAAGTGCTGACACCTGGGTTGGAAGGGACCACCAGGGAGTTTCCAATAATACCAGGGAAATCACAGGTTCAGTCTCTATGCCTTAGGATAGGGATCACTGTCCTGATGTCCTCATATTTGTAATTAAAGTGATGGAGTGAATACGCGTCTCTTGCCTGAAAGTCTGCTGAAGATGACTTAAGTTAGCCTATCACAACTTACCTGCCCAAAGACATTTAAATCTTAACTAGGAGTTGGAAAACCTGGATTCTCGGCTAACTACCTCCCTGAAAAACAATCACTGGATGGACATGTGGACCTCAAGTTTTCTTCCAGACCTAAAAGAAACAATGTAAGCTCTAACACTGGAAATACCAACCAACCAGCTAAAAATTTATGCAGTAGAAGAGAAATTCAGAACTCCATCAAAAATCTGAGTTCAGCACACACTGAATTACAAGCCATACTCACCCACAAACCCTAACTCTTAACAGTGATTCCTATAACTTTAGCAACTGTACAGATACTGAAACCAGGATTCAGCTATCCTCTGTCCCTACTCAGACTAGCTCAGCCTAACTCCCTCCCCTCCACTGAAAACCCACCCACAAGCCACTAACGGCCACTCCCCTCCAGGAATAAAGTAACCCTAACCCCTAGGCTCCATGCTGCTCCCTAAACCCTGCCTGCCTCATCCCACACTAACTCATTCAATGACCCTCCCACCCAGAAAACTGAACTCAAGATCTGCCTGGCCCCAGGCAGTCAGTTACTAGGCTGGGGAACCCAAGTCAAGGAAATGAACCTGGGAATGAGCACACTTGGCGACTGGTGGATTTGCCTAAGAGTTGGGAGCCTGGCAAAGTAGCCCAGCACAGTCTGTCCACTCCACCCCCCTCCAGGCCCCAGAAACACATCAGAGGAAGAATACGTTCTCAGATGGTAGAAGGGCGGAGGCATCACCTCGAATCGATCTAAGAAAGCCTTGAGGTTTGTGAAGTCGTCCAAGCAACAAGGGTCAAACTTTCGGTTCTGGTCAAGGACGTCATACACAAGAAAATCCACATAAGTGATCTGGCAGATGGAGAAGCCAAGAGTCAGGTCAGTGAGATTCTTATGCTCCTTGCATAACTCCTAATGAGAAAAAAATACCCAACTTTCTTCTCTTTCTTCTGACTTACCTTGTCCCCTGCAAACCATGTCCACTTCCCCAGAAACAGGGAGAAGAGCTTCAATTGCCCTGGGAGCTGCTCCAGGTACTCAATTTTCAGAACTTCCTGGGAAAGAAAATAAAAAGAAACATTTGCCATCAACTGATAAGGAGGAAGCTTCCCCTGCGGCCAGGTATGGCCTTTCCTCTAGATCTCTGCATGGGCCCAGGCCAAAGCATATATACCTGACTCCTAGCAACTTCTCCAAAAGGGCTATTCCTTTCCCTCCCATGAGGAAATTAGGGCCCTGGTGACAAGTGGGAGAGGCTCAGACCCACTAATCCCAGATCTCACAGATTTAAAGCTAGAAGGGTTCTCAGAGTTCATTTAATCCCACACCTTCATATCTCAGATGGCTCAGGGAACTTGCCCCTAAATCACTCAGGGAATAAATATTCTAGAGGCGGGATCTGAACCCACAGATTCAACGGTCGTTCTACTGCACCGGCGGCAATCCAACTCAAATGTACTGTATTGTTATTTATTTTTGTTAAACATTTCCCAATTATATTTTAATCTGGTTTGGGCTGCACTGGGCCAGTGTCCAGTTTAACACCTCTGGACTCACACAATGCTAAGTGTTGAGGCCTGAAATAAATCAAAGCCATGAGTTGAGGAATCAAGCATCTTTAATTGAGATAACAAGGCAGCAAACCTGGTGTACCCTGGCACTTCAGTGGATTTCCCAACCACAGAGACCCATGGAGAAGTTTTTATAGTTTTAGGAGCGGGGAGGAGATAGGTGAGGTAGTAAGTGAGCCTGTTCAGGAGACCTCAGTGACCCCTGGCAAACTGGACAAGGAAATCGACTTCATTCTGGCTGTTTTGCCTTTCATGCCACGAATCCCAATGGAAGTGGACAAGGACACTAGAAGCTGAGATAGCTAGAGCTGGGCTCACCACAAGGCAACATCCCTGCGTGGGGGCGGGGGGGGGGGGGGGGAAGCAAATGTGGCTCAGCTCAACCTAATCTCATTATCTTAAGGGTAGGAATGTAAGGACAATACTGGGATTTTTTTTTTTTGGCTAGGCCATTAATGGGGTTAAGTGACTTGCCCAGGATCACACAGCTAGTAAGTGTCAAGTATCTGAGGCAGAATTTGAACTCAGGTCCTCCTGACTGTAGGGCTGGCGCTCGATTATTCACTGAGCCACCTAGCTGCCACTGGGATTTTAACATTGTGAAGGTGACTAAGGTATTCAAGCAGTCCAACATTACAATCAGTAATCAACAATTTTCTGTCATTACAGTAACAGTTTTGTCACTGATATGACATGGAAGAATTGTGGAAGGAAAGGAGGAGACAGGAAAGAAGGAAGGAAGGAAGGAAGGAGGAAGGAAGGAAGGAAGGAAGGAAGGGAGGGAGGGAGGGAGGAAGCTTCAAAGGAAGGGAGGGAGGCAGGAAGGAAGGAAGGAAGGAAGGAAGGAAGGAAGGAAGGAAGGAAGGAAGGAAGGAAGCTTCAAAGGAAGGGAGGGAGGAAGGAAGGAAAGAAGGAAGGAAATACGAAAGGACTTATTTAACTGTTTACCATGTGGATCATCCCAAAGAGAACCTTAGTATACCTCTGGGGAAGGACTGCTGCTGGTGGTGTCTGAGCTGAGTCTTAAAGGATTCTACATTATGCTGGAGGTGAGGAAGGAAGACCACCAGGAAGGCCAGCACAAAGGTGGGGGAATGAAGAAAGTGTTTTTGAGAAGCAGAAGGTGGGCCTGTAGCTGGATTGTGGAGTGTGTGGAGGGAAGCAGTTTAAGAAGCCTTGGAAAGTAGGTAGGAAGGGGGGCCAGTTTGTGAAGGAGGGCTTTGGTCCATTCTGACTCTTGACTGGGAAGATGCAGTGGAGGGGCAGACTGGTTAAAAGGCAAGGAGGATTAGTTAGGGAGTGGCTATAATGCCTGGCACCATCCAGGCTGGATGGAATCCCAAAGCGCTCAAGAGGGTTGGAGCAGAGTGGAGGCTTTCCTGCTCCCCCTTCCCCAGCTGCTTAGCCTTCTCCTCACAGATCATCTTTCAGCCACTCTGCCACTCTTTGCTCTCACCCAGTTATTTACACGTGGCCTCTTCCACTGAAATGAGAGTTTCTTGAGGGAAGAGGCAATTAGTTGCTCATGCTTTTCTTTGCCTTTGTATAGCACTTAGTATACAATGTTTGGCCTAGAGTAAACATTTAGTAAATGCTTCTTTACTGATTTGCTGGCTGGAGAGAATGTGGAAGAAAGGAGGGAGAATAGAAGTGATGTAGCAGCAGTGATAGTCTACAAGCTGCCGAGTCAGCTAACATTATTATTATTACTAGGAAGAACAATGAATGTAATGATGAATAAATACAATAAGATCAGCAGGCTTGAAGGAAAACAAGCATTTATTAAGCACCTAGTAACACGCCTGGAACATGTTAAATGCTTTGCAAATATGATCTCATTTGATCCTCACAACCACCCTGGGAGGTAGGTATCCCCATTTTATAGGTGAGGTAACTGAGGCAAACTCAGGACTTGCCTGGCCAGAGCCACATAGCTACTAAGTGTCTAATGCTACATTTGAACTCTGCCTCTCTGTCTCCAGGCCCAGCACTCTATTCACTGTCTTACCCAGTTGCCTCTGGAAAGAACACTTGGAATCTGAGGTGAGGATCTGAGAGAACCCTACACTCAAATTCTGCCTCCAGCCCTTATTAGCTGTGTAACCGGGGCATTTACTTAGCCTGAGCCTCAGTTTTCTTATCTGTAAAATGGGGGTATAACAGAGCCTAAAAATACCTTATTTTTACATGGTCGTTTTGAGGTGCTAATCAAATGAGGTAATGTACACTAGGCACTCTGGAAACTCTTAAGTACTCTGAAAATGTCAGTTATCATAGCTGACTTTATGACAGCTTTAAGCCCTTTTGGCCAGGACCTCACTTCTAGTTCAGCTACTCTGTTACACTGACAGACAAGGGTTAGGAAGATAGTACAGGAAGGCTTCCAAGCACAGCCCCGCCCCCCACTCCTTCACCCCATGCCCCTTTTTTTGCTTTTTAGGCTATTGGGGCTAAGTGACTTGCCCAGGGTCACACAACTAGTAAGTGTCAAGTGCTTGATCTGAGGCCAAATTTGAACTCAGGTCCTCCTGAGTTCCCGCCACCTAGCTGCCCCTCAGGGCTAGATATCTTAGCCCTAACACATCCTCTTTTCCTGTTCCCCTCTCAGCCCCTAAGACCAGCCCAATCCTTGCAAGAGAAACTCACAAAGTCTGGGTTGTGGCAAACCCGGGACAGCTGCAAGCGGACATCCATGACATGGTTCTCAAGCATGTCCACTCGAATGCATTCTTCCTCAGTCTCACCACCTACAGGAGGGGAGGATGAATAAATTCATTATCTTAAGATGGTCCCAGGATCTCTAACACCGGAAATCAGGAGACACCTGGGATCTTCAGATGCTGGCTCCAACACCTACTATGTATGTGAACCTGGGTATATTATTTAACCTTACTGGGCCCCAAGATGTTGTCATCTGTAAAATGGGAGAGTACGTGCTATTTGCCCCTACTTGTAATACCTCACAGCATTTTGGAAGGAAGGGGCCTTTTGTTCAGCCTTTAAACATGAGTGAGTCAGCAACTTGGGTCCAGGAGAGCAGCTCATAAAAGTCAGGCGTCTCCTCACCATCCCAACGTGCCCCACCCCCCACTCTCACTCACACAGGTTGTACTGTCGGGCAATGTAGCGCAAGATGGCATTGCTCTGGGTGATCTTATGGTCCCCGTCAATCAGGTAGGGTAGCTGGAATAACAATAGGGACAGGTCAGCCAAACAATAACTGATGAAGGTCCCTGGGCCCTAGCACCTCTTCCTCTCCTCCCCCCCCCCCCATGAGGCTGAGGATGCTACTTACAGACCCTGGGGAAAAGCAATTTATAAACACTATCAAGAGACAAAGAGAGAGGAAGCAGAAAGAAGGCAAGAAATTGATGGGGAGTAGAGGGAGTTGAATGGAGGGTTGTATTTAAGCCAAGGGAAGAGGAAAGAAACAGAGAGATGGAGGCATCTTCCCTAATGCAAACACCTACGTTAGGGAAGTCCAGGCCCAGCGAGAACTTCACATCCAGCCATTGGCTTTTGTCAAAGTCAGGAGCTGCAGAGAAGAAGAGGCAGTAACCCCCACCCAGAACTCCTCCCAACCAGAGTCCTATTCCTTTCTCAGCAAGACCCCACATGGAGTGGCAACAACATTAGGTTCCTTGGGCCTGGTAGAGTCCCAGGAAAGACAAAGAAGCCCCTGGGGCCCCCTCCTTTGGAGATATCTTGGGAATAAAAGGGTACTAGTTAATAATAATAAGTTATGGCTAGCATTATATGGCATACAGTAGGCACTGTGCTAAGTGCTTTTCAAATATTTCATTGATCTTCCTAACAACCCTGGGAGCCCTATTTTACAACTGAGGAAACTGAGGCAAACTGAGGTCCAGAGATTTGTTCCAGGTCAGACTGCTAATAAGTTGTCAAGAGGCCAGCCCAGAGCTCTATCCACTGTCCCTCAGAAAGGGGACTTGGGAATTATCAGCCCCAGATCAGTGAATGTTCCCTCCCCCCAGTCTTCTCCCTGTTGCCTATGTCAGCCCTGAGCTCCACCTGGATCAGAAAACCAAGATCACAGATTTAGAGCTGGAAGGGGCAGCAGGCCCTGCTGTATGATGCCAGTGCTGGCCAAGGGCCAGCCGGGAGGGCCCAGACTTGACTTGGCACACCTGGACAGATACGGCCCCCCTTTCCCCAGCTCTCCATTACCATCCCCAAAATGATACACCTTCTCTTCATAGTTTGCGCCGGTGTACTCGAGGAGCAGGCGGATGGCGTGGGCAAGCTGCAGGGCGGAAGCCAGGGCAAGGAAGTAAGCCGAGGCAGGGGGGCTCCTGGGGAAAACCCAGAACCCCCTCCCCACAGTCCTCACTGAGCTCTGGGACCCCTGCCCATGGTGGGGGACTGCTATAGAGAGGCAGGGAAGAGGAATGGAGCTGGATCCGGGATTCGAGGAAGAGAATTGGACTCAAGAACTACACCACAGAGGAGGGTCTGTCCCCCTCCCCCAAGGGGCGCCGGAAGAGGCAGCCTAAGGGGGATGGGGGCAGGTCTGATCCACCAGGCTACCCAGCCCCTGCTGCGGGTTCAGGGCTGGACAGAGAGGGAAAGGGTGGCTGGGCTTCTCCAGAGGCCTAGGGCGGGAAGCTCACCCCGCGGATGTCCCAATAGCCCAGGATGATAGGCATGTTGGGTGCTCTTGTGGCTGGCAAGGAGCCGGATCTCCGAGCGCGCCCCAAAGGAGAGGCTTTTATACCGCGATCAGAGGGGTGGGGCGGGGCGGGGCGGGGCGGGGCAGGGTGGGGCCGGGACTGGGCAACCTCCTCTCTGTTGCGCCCTGCCGCAGGGCGTGCACAGGGACACACACCCCCAATTCCTCCCCGCAGACAACAATCTCTCATACACACCCCCCCAGCTGCAACCGCTTTACGGTCTGGCTCACTCCCAGCTCTACCCCGCAGATACACACACACCCCCAGCCCTCCCCTTCGACACTCACTCATACCCCCAGCTTCTACCCCGAGTCACACACACCCATCTCCTTCCCCAGACACACTCGTTCACACAGAGCTCCTCCCCCCCACATATACACATACTCACATTCACCCCCACCCCACCCCACCCCCGCCAGCCCCTGCTGCGGCTCAGCTCTAGCAGGGCTCCCTAAGGGCGGCTACTCCCTCCTCCTTCCCCCACTCTAAACTAGGAACACCAAGAAATAAAGGGACGTCTGTTTGTGGCCTCTCTCAGCCCCCGGAGGGAACAAAAAGCTGAGTCCTTGAACCGTTAAAGAGATAAAGGCCTTCTGCTGGGACTTGTAGTTACATGGGGCATCGGAGATGAAAGAAGAGCCGATCTAGGTCGGAAGCCTAGAGAGGGGAGGGACGTGGCCTGGTCTCAGCAGGGACCGTGGAAGGTCCTTACTGTGGGGCTCAACAGGAGCTAATGGGATGGTATATGTGAAGGGCAGCCAGCATTAGCAATTGTTAGCCTTGTTTTGTTTGCCAAAGCTACGGGTCCTTTTCCTCCTAAGTGGTACCACCTGATATAGCCCCAGAATACGGGCACAAGACCCCTGGAGCTTTCTCCAGTGACCAGCAGCTTCCCTGGGGGTGCTTAAAAACATTCTGGAGAGCCCGAGTGAGGTCAGCCCCACATTACATGTTTTATCTTGGGAGAGAGACTAGAGGGAAGAAAAGAATGGGTGGAGATGTAAAGGTCCTGAGATGGGGAAGCTCAGACAGTCTGTGAACCTATCTCTTAACAGAATCTTCCCAGGGGTAGATGTAGTATTGAGAATTTTGGGGAAAAAATAGGGAATTTTTAAACTATCCCGGGGGGGGGGAAGCAATAGAGAAATCCTAAGAGATAAATGACAAAATTTCTTAGTAGCAGTGAAGAGTCAGAGCATTTATAGTCTGTTAATAACAGTAATAAAACATGTGTGTCCATAAGTCATGTCTGATCATGACCGCATTTGGAGTTTTCTTGGCAAAGATAACAGAGTGGCTTGCGATTTCCTTCTCCAGTTCATTTTACAAATAAGGAAACAGAGTTAAGTGGCTTGCCCAGGGTCACACAGTGTCTGAGGAGATTTGAACTCATGAAGATGAGTCTTCCTGATTCTAAGCCCAACTCTTTATGCATCAAGATACCTGGCTGTCCCTAGATTTAGAACTGGCAGGGGTCCTAGAGGTCATCTAATCCAATCTCCTCATTTTCCTGGGGAGGAAACTGGAAGCTGTGAAAAGGGAAGTGACTTGTCCAGCTCACACAGGTAGTAAGTAGCAGAGCTGAGATTTTAATCTAGAAGGTCTAGTTCCAAATCTAGTGTTCTTTCCGCTCTACTACACTGACTCAATGCCAACACTTATAAGCCTCTGTGTGTGTGTGTGCATGTGTGTGTGTGTGCATGTGTGTGTGTGTGTGTGTTTTCATGTATCTGAAAGATCTCTATATACTCACATACTTGCTTACATAACAAAGCCATTGAGGTCAGGGAGAGTACTTCAGACTATAATCCTTACATCAGACACTTTCATGAAATGAAGGCCCCAGGGGAGTACATTTGCAGGAGCTTCCTACCCTCGAGGGTCAGATGACCTAGTTCCAAATCCTGCCTGTAACTCTTACTATCGATGTGACCTTGGCCAACTCACTTAATCTCTTTGGACCTCAGTTTCCTCATCTGTAAAATGACAGGGTAGAACTAGATGGCCTGTGAAATCCTTTCCAGCTCTGAATCTATGATCTTTTGCTATGATCTCACCCAAAAAAACCATCAACACCCCACCCAGCCCTAGGGCAATGTTGGTACAGCTAAACTGAGCTAGAAGGCTGGTCACTCCTTCTCAGAGGTGAACACCTTCATGTGGGTTGAGTTCCTACTTCCTAATTCCTCCTCATCACCATGACTTTCTCTTGGGTAACTCCCTCAGCTCCATCCCTCTGGAAAAATGGTTTTCCTTTCAAACCAGACAATGGAAAGGAATAATGAGCTAGCTACCCACGAACATTTATACCAGTTCCAGCTTGTCACAGCCTTCCCTCCACCAAAATTGCTGGCTTATTATCAAGAAAAATCTGGGTCTACATTTTTGTTTCTCTCCCTGCTTTGAAAAGTTACCCACAAATGAATTAAAAACTCTTGTTATTCTGGTGTTCCTAGCTAGGAAAATTGCCGTGGTAAATATGAATATTGAAGTAATCAAATCTATTTGTTTCTCTCATTTCTCCCTCTATTGTTTTTCTCCACTGCATTTACACAAAGACACACTCAGGTCAGTAATGCCTGACCTTAGCCAATTTTCAAACAAAAATGGAAACAGAAATCAAGCAAACTCTTAAAAAATGGAGATACTGGAGATAGGTATACTCTCCTGGGAAGAGAGAGGCAAAGGGAAAGGATGAAAGAGGGTGAGGAATCACCAAGCTCGAGCTCAGCACTTGGAACAGTTTCTACAAACCCAGTGTCGGTTCTGTTACACTGATGCATACCCAAGGATGTGCTGGTAAAAGTTCTAACAACCAGCTCTCTGGAGAGGAAAAATACAATGCTCTAGGTACAACACACTTTTAAGTTTTATCTGCTTTATTAGCACTTTCACTGTCATGTTCTTAAGTCTAGAACAATCCACAAAACAACAAATCAAACCCTGATTTACTGTAGCCTTCACCAATTTACAAGGTGAAAATGCTCGCTAAAAATTTAACAATCAGCTCTACTTGCTTAGACTGGCTTCCGTACAACCCATTCTGAATATACAGTCCCTGTAGTCTGGCATGTCTGGCAGCTGCTGGTCACGGAGGAAGATTCAGGGAAAAAAATAAAAGGAAGATGGAGGAACAACTGAGTCCCAGGATTTGAGGAGTCTGTGGTGTTGGGTCCATGGTGGTGCCTGCTCTCATGGCGCTCACCCACGTCCCAGCCACCAGCTCATTGGGGTGTGGCTTTTCCTTTTCCTTTTCTTCTGGTAGGAGGGTAAGCTTGTCAGTCAGGGGTGGCTCCCTCTGTCTAGGTCATAGCTAATTCCCTAAGGATTGAGGAAAGGAATGCTGGTAGATTCCCTTTCCATGAATGGGCATTGACCTTCTATGTCTTCTTATAGTTGTTCTGATCTAGATCTTGGCACTGGACTGGCTCTGGAGAAGAAAGTGAGGCTGGTGACTTTGCACAGCCCTGCCTCGCTTCAATCCAATTCACTTCCACGTCGTGGCATCACCTCCCTGATGCCATGGTCCTCTTCGAGAACGAAGGACAAGCAACAGCCACCTTGAGAACAACTCCCTGTGCCCAAACACGCAGTTTATGGCAGGGAGTTAAATATGCGTTTTTCTGTGAGAACTGTCACCTGCAACTACTGCCTGCACATTCCTTCTTGGCCTCTAGGAGGGGGGGAAGATGGGGGGCTGGAGTAAAGAAGGTCTCCTTTCATTCTACTCTCTCCAGCTTCTAGCTACTCTAATGACTGAAGAGGAGAAACCCAGTGAATGTCCTAGTTTCTTAGGCTAGGACAGTGAGTGTCTCTAGCCCTCTAAATTTTTGATCATCACCTCACCTAAAATGATGACAAAACTTCCAGTCTTTTTAATGTCAGATTACCATTGCTTCAGACCCTTTCTGTTCAATGACTTCTTCAATCCCTTCCAATTCCTAGCAGTAATCATCCCTGTGCATAGCCTTTGGCAGCATGTGTTATCTCCCCTAGTCATTCAGATGGAGAAGGAAAGAGGAGAGACAGATATCCCAAGGTTTGCTACATTTCTCCCTCTAGTTAAAAAGAAAAAAAGGAGGGGGGCTTTAATTACTTGAAAATTGGGCTAGATACCATGAATACTATTAATATGACATATAGTAGGTACAATGAGAAGCGATGTGTTATTGTGGCTAGAGGACTGACCTTGGATTCAGATAGACCTGGGTTCTTGTCCTGCCTTCTCACCTCAGATATATACCAGCTTATGTGACCGTGGATAAGTCATTTAAACACTCAGGGCCCTAGTCAACTCTCCAAGACTGTGAACTGAGTGTTAAGTCTCAGATAAGTTATCAATATGCATCTGAAGGGAGTTTCTACATAGAGAGTTCCGATTACACATGAAATCACAGTTCCAAATCTCTCTCTCTCTCTCTCTCTCTCTCTCTCTCTCTCTCTCTCTCTCTCTCTCTCTCTCTCTCTCTCTCTCCCTCTCTCTCTCTCTCTCTCTGTCTCTGTCTCTGTCTCTCTCTCTCTGTCTCTCTCTCTCTCTCTCTCTGTCTCTCTCTCTGTCTCTCTCTGTCTCTCTCTCTCTCTCTCTCTCTCTCTCTCTCTCTCTCTCTCTCTCTCTCTCTCTCTCTCTCCCATTTTCACTGGCCATCATCCATGCCTGGAATTCTCTCCCTCCTCCTCCCGATTTCCTGGCCTCTCTGACTTCTTTCAAGTCCCAGCTACAAGAAGCCTTTCCCAATCTCCCTTGATGGCAGGGCTTTCCCTCCGTTGATCATTTCCATTTTGTCCCATATAGAGCTTGTTTGGACATAGTTGTTTGCAGGGTCTCTCCTATCATATTAATCTCTGAGTTCCTGAGGGCAGGGACTGTCTTTTGCAATTCTTTATATCCTTGGAGCTTAGCACAGTGCCTGGCACATAGTAAGTATTTGTTGAAGGGCAGTTAGGTGGTGCAGTGGGTAGAGCACTGGCCCTGAAGTCAGAAGGACCTGAATTCAAATCCAGCATCAGATACTTACTAGCTATGTGACTCTGGGCAAGTCAC